TAGCAAGTTCCGAAACGTGACTTCTTTCTCATGATTCACTGAAAGCTTCGTGTATTGGTGCTTTATATTATGTAAGTTTTTTCTTATTATATTTTTTGTGTAATAGAATAGTAGACGGTCTCAAAGTTAATCGGATATTAGTAAGTTTAGAGAAACCAGAACGATGCCACAATATATCTTCATACTAGCTTTTGCCCGCGACTTCATCCGCGTGGAATAAATAGTTCACAAATAATGCTTTATTTTAGAACAAATTTGGTTAGCATAAAAAACGTTATAGTGAGCCAACCTTAACATATAGACATATGCTGTCGCGGTTTTTTTTTTTTTTGATGAATGTCTTTTGTATTATACAATACAAATAGTCATTGAGTCGTCATGGCGTAAAAAATAAAATGCTCAACGTAGTCGCCGGCATGGTCGCATCGCTTGATATTCGGTGCTCAAATCCTAGAGTCAGGTAACAAATTCCATGAGGAAATACGTACTTAACATGTAACCATTATGAAGAAAAAATATTAGGCACTGTAAAAATTAAACCCAGAAAGAATATTTGGGAAAATACTGATATGGTGTAAGCGCGCATGGGTAGGCATCGTCTTTCTGTCTAGTTCTGCCACGAAGCAACCTGTCCCCGTTTTAAAGATCGAACAACTGTGGTACTATTGAGATTTAGACCTCATGTCTCAAGGTGGGTGGTGACATTCACGTTGTATAATGTCTATTAAGTCTGGTAACCACATTACACCTGATAGACTATGCGCTTGTTTACTCATTGATTCAATTAAGAAAAGATCAAAAAATCATTCTTTAAACCAGCATGCATTGTGACTCACGGTAGAAATAAGGCAAATTGTGATACCTACATTTATAAATTAACTAGCGACCCGCCCTCGCTTCGCTTCGGAAACTGTAATTTATTATTGATATCTCCACTATTTAATGGATGTTATTATGCATATAAACCTTCCTCTTCAATCACTCTATCTATTAAAAAACCGCATCAAAATCTGCTGCGTAATTTTAAAGATTTAAGCATACATAGGGACAGACAGATATAGGGACAGAGAAAGCGACTTTGCTTTATACTATTTAGTGATAATATCTTCCACAACCATCATTCATTAAGTCACTGCTTTCTTTAACTTGGCTAACATCGAATTTGAAATACCTACTACCTAACTACTAACTATGTACCTGAAGACAACAGACAAATAGCGTACAAAATAAAGAACATGTTAAAGAAATTGAAATTAAATTTTCAACGAATTTCGCTTTAAAAGAAATCCATTGATAAAAACTATTTTGTTCTGAATTCAACCCTCCTTTACTCTATAACACTTTTTTTCTTCGTCAATCATTCAAACAATTGACCGTCGATTGCCTTATCGACAATACTAATTATTAGGGTCACCATCGCGACAGTGACCGTGATATCGCAACTAAACTATTCAATTAACTTATCTTGTACCTACGACGCACAGGGAATCTTAAATTAACCTACAATTGCTTTATAAAGGAGATCTAATTAGTATTGTGTTTATCTCTATAGATAAATTTCTGTTTTTATTGTTGGGGGGACTTCGAGATGGCGGCCTTTTAGTGAGAGAGTTGTGTTTCGTATAATATATAGATGTGTGTCTATATTGATGCAAGAAGACAATGTTAGGAGTATAATATAAATAAGTTTTTTTATTGCTTTTGAAGACAAGCAAGTTAACTGACTAGCTCGGAAATGCCAGAGACGCAGCTAAGCCGCTGTCTACTAGTAAATTGTTTTTAAGATCGAATTAATAATATTTAAAATATGCTTTAAAACATCGTTCATACGTCATATGAAATGAGAACTACATGAAATGAGAACCCAAATAGCAACCGCCCATCAAAAATTCCAACTTATAACTAGCAAGCTTACCTTACAGAAATTAAAAGTGATCTCTTAAATAAATAAATAGTCTGGTAATAACAACCCGAATATTGGAGAATATCTTATTTTTCTGGCGTAGAGATTACCTGTAGCGTGATTTTTCTAAATTCAATCTGAAAGATGGTTGGGGTAATAAAGATTGCACTGAGATATAATAGAGATACTGAGTCCGCGCGGGTAGGTACCACCACCTCGTCTATTTCTGTCGTGAAGCAGTAATGCATTTCGGTTCGAAGGGTGGGGCAGACGCTGTAACTATACTGAGACCTTAGAACTTATATCTCAAGGTGGGTGGCTGGATCCCATAGACATCTACAACGTAAATGCTATGTTGTAGATGTCTATGGGCTCCAGTAACCACTTAGCATCAAGTAGGCCGAGAGCTCGTCCACCCATCCACGCAATAAATAAAAATAAAAGTCATATATTTCTAGAAACTCTATATCATATAAATCATTCAGTATGCTTGTGTCCATCAATATTAAAACTCACTGATGTTAATATATCAGAAGAACTTCTTACGAATTACCATTGGAATCTAAAATCGTTTCGGTTTCCGCCAGTTTACTGATTACCAAATGTCCTAAAGTAAACGACATCTATAGTCAATCATTTAAATCTGAATTAACATCTTTTAATAAATGAGGAAGTAATAACTACTTTAACGTCATGCTAGAAGGAGAAAGCACTTAGTTTAACTGGTATCAATGAAGAGTATCGCAGAAGAACTAAAAACGTAACCAATATAATAAAAAAAGACGTGTGGCACTCGGAGACCGCCGCGGTAAAGCTATTGCATAGCATTTTTTATCAACTTATGCAATTATAAAATCGACAATAATAATTTAATATTAAAACAACAATAAAATAAGATCCGGCGAGAAACTCAGTGGGCTAACTTTCAATGAATCTGCTACATTGTGAGTATTCAATTTTGACCGCGCACTCACTAGAGGGCGCTACATGGGATAGAGACACGGCTTTGGATGCTATTTCTAACTCTCATTCGCCCAGAATCAACGGTTTAGCTAGTTTATTTTTAATGCCACTCCAATCACTGAATGAGTAGTAGGAGTAGTAATAAAATTCTTCGACTAAGCGATAGAAAATGGCACGCCCAACGCATTGTAATGTGATATAATTTTCTATTTTACAATTCTGTTTGTCGCCGATAGATGGTGCTTGACGCAAAAGCTGAATCGCGCTATCGTTGTGTTACCCACGAAATTATATCACATATTTTGATAGTACAAAAATCGGTGTTTAGATTTCTTACTTTAAACACTACACAAGCGCAACGTGTGAATGTGTTGAACGCGAACTACATAGTAGACGTAGTGAGGGGTGGAAGGTTTTTTTCGTTACGGAATTTCACGATTCCGCTCTCAAGCCGCGCCCAAGGCCCGCGATAAAATCTATGCAATAGCTTAATAATTGCAAATATAGTGTCAGAGGACAGGGCATATCGTAGAATTAATTCTTGGTGGAGCCAATTTTTTACCAGAAAGAGACCTAAAAGAAACAGCGTGGGTAGGACCAGAGAAAATAGACCAAAAGTTGCTGCAATCACCCCGACAAGTCCTGTATTTAAAGATATGCTTCTTTAAGGTTTTGAGTTTTGATCGCACTAAAATTATTCGTACTTATTTACTCGAGTGATGTATGATCATGGTACAAATGCTTACGTGTTTATTAATTAAACTAATTGACGCGGCACGCATCATAAGGTTTTCACTTACGGCCGATACGATTCGACGGCCGTCTGGTGTAGTGGTAAGTGACATGGTCACTACACAAGGGGGTCGCAGGTTCGAATCCCGCCAAGGGAAGATATTTGTATGATAAATATAAATGTATTTTCCAGGGTTATGGATGTATCTTAAACATATGTATGTGTATAATAAAAATCTTACATTTAATTTTCCGTTATCTGGTACCTGTAAAACAAGTTCTTTACGAACTTGTCACGGGACCAGTTAACGTGATTGTTAGTAAATATTTATTTATTATTTATTTATATAACTAATCACTAAACATGTTGCCAATAACACATACTTAACGTAACTAAACCAAGATCCCGACAACAGTTCGCCAATACTAAATTTAAAGAGTAATTAATTAATGTAAAACTAAATTTTTGTACTAGTCAACGAATTCTAATTACATACTAAATCATTCAAATATTATTCATTTAATATGACAAATTGTGCTTATTGTGTCCGTGTATAAATATATTGTAAATTTATGACAGAATGTAACATGTTTATGATATAATTTGAATTAATTGACTACATTTTTGTATTAAACGTTCAAATATTACGATTTTTATCATGGGATACAAATATAAATGTAGACGAGAATCGAATTTGGTATAAATGTTTTAGTTGTTAGTTCTAAAACAGATTTATAAAATGGTTAATACAATTTATTAATAAAATTTTGACATTTTTAATAATTTTTGACATTCATAAAATTTTACTGGTGGTAGGACCTCTTGTGAGTCCGCTCGGGTAGGTACCACCTCCTCGCCTATTTCTGCCGTGAAGCAGTAACGCGTTTCGGTTTGAAGGGCGGGGCAGCCGTTGTAACTGTACTTGAGACCTTAGAACTTATATCTCAAGGTGGGTGGCGCATTTACGTTATAGATGTCTATGGGCTCCAGTAACCACTTAACACTAGGTAGGCTGTGAGCTCGTCCACCCGTATAAGCAATAACAAAAACATAGAAAAAAAAACATAATTTGTCAGATTATGTTAGTCCTATTGGTAAGTAAGTGTCTATTGAGACCCATGGATATCACATCCTTGGGACTTGTGGTCGAAGTCTCAATATTCTTGTAAACTAGCTATACCACCCCTCAAATTGGAATGCATGACTGCTTGAAATAAGTAGAGTGACAGTCACTCATTAAAAAAACATACTATGGTCGAATTTTAAGATCCGATCCATCAAGACTTGTTTGTCGTGTCTGTCTTAACAACCAAGAAAAGTTTAATGGCAAAACAACCCTACCAAAATCCTAGCAGTGCTCAACCAAAAGAAAAACCTAACAAACATCTATTCTTGTTACAGATAATCGTCGCCACAGATCATCATTTCAAACAGCCCACCCATAAATCATTCATCTCAAAAGCGGCCGAAAATAATATGGCGCTTAGCCCTAACGGTCTCCTTCTTATAATAGAACCGACTCGATCTGGGGAAGCCGAAGAAATGTGAATATCCACAAATAGCACCGGATATCCTTATGCCAGTGAAAGTGTAGGCATCATGTCGAACTACAGACCGAGGACAACTAGTAGGGATGTGAAACCGTTGTTTCTGTTGTTGCGGACCAAGTATGTGAGTTATTACGTGTTCGGTGCGATATTTATCAGTTCGTTCAGTGTTTGTTACGGCTTCGCGGAGCAGAAGTTCGCCATGGAGCCACAGGATCAGGTCAGTCATATTTCGTTGGCTTTTAAAAACTAGTTTACTATATCGACGCTTGAAAGGCAAAAGTTACTAAGCGACAATAACTGCTTTATACATAAATGATAGGCAATAACCATATTCGATGCGCAAAAAAATTACAATTCTAGGTCTATTAAAATCATTTCAATCCTACAGCTAGATTCGTTAAAATAGTAATTGTTTTCAGGTATTTTAACTTTAAATTGGTCTACTGTAAAGTTCACGCATTGTCGCTTAGTCATGTTTGCCTTTCAAGCGTCGATATGTATAACGTAAAGCTAACCGAATATTGAATGAAAATCGGGCCAGTTTTCGTGTGTCATCTTGCTTTGTCTTGTGAAGTCATCGTGGCCTAAAGGATAAGACGCCCTCTGTACTGGCACCGAGCAAAGCGATCGTGCCAGTGTTCAAATCCCGCAGGCGGGTACCAATTTTTCCTATACGTGCGTAACAAATTTTTGCGAATGATTTCCCAGATAAGTAGTAAGATCGTGTAATAAAAGACGCAATATTTGTAATTTGCGTAATTCGTTTCTTACCTATTGATGTACACGAAGTAATCATACCATAAGCTGATATTCCCGTAAATGCAGCAAAAAAATATATTTAAAAAATTATATTAAGTTCTCGACCCAAAAATAATTTCCAGAAGCAACGGTCGCAGCAGTAAATACTAATTAATGAGCGTGTCTTTCCTTTTTATACTTTAATCAAAATAAATTCCACCGGCTTTCTGAATTAAATGGCAAACGAGATAGCAAAATGCGTCTCTTAGATTTAAAATGTGACTGAAGAGAAGAGGAATGATGGAGGATTCCCTTTCCAGATAATTATTTTATTATCTTCGAAGACACTTCACTATATCGCACTTGATAATGGAAGGTCACCATCGCACCTAGACATCGGTAATGCTATGGGCATAGCAAAGCTGTCTATAACCAAAGACTCTTTTCGAACCTCGTCTTAAGAAGAACATGTATAAGTTATAGCACTAATTCATTATCATCATCATCTTAGGCCTTACAGCCCAGGATGGGCCTTAGCCTGGTCCAGTATGTCTCCAGACTGCTCTGTTCAGGACTTGCTCCTTCCAATTCTTGACGCTGATATTTTTGAGGTCGCGCTCCACGCCTTTTTTTTTGTTTGGGTCTGCCACGACTTCTGCGGCCTCTCTGGTTTGCCATAGAGCAATTGTCTCGGCATTCTGGTATATATATAGCACTAATTGCTGCAGCGCAAATATGCAAGGCTTATCTTGCAATGTGAGGTTAAGCACTATTTCCGGCTAAAAACAAACAACAATACAGCTAATGAGACCATATGGTGCCTTCCAAACTCACATTACCATACATGTACAATTCATAATTATAATTGAAGTTTTGCATGTCTACATTGCGAAGTAATTAGACAAAAACTAAATCCGGATTTCAAAATACTGACATCAATTTAGATACTCTTTATCCCATATTTTGATGGTCCTAAATTAGACCTTTATTTTAATCGTATTAAAATACTAAACGCCTCCATGAGCTGTCGCGATTTAGGCCTGAAGCGCACCTATTACTGGTTTCAACAAGACGATTTTCTTGTTCTAGTTGCGTCTTGTCAATTTTTATAGTATTATGCAGGAACATTTTAAAATGTTATGTTGTGTTATCGTACGTGTTTACACGCCTAAATAAGTTTCAGCCCGCTGAGTTTCTCGCCGGATCTTCTCAGTGGGTCGCGTTTCCGATCCGGTGGTAGATTCTGCGAAGCACTGCTCTTGCTAGGGCTAGTGTTAGCAATACACCCGTTTTGAGCCCTGTGAGCTCACCTACACGTCAAGGAGAATCTGAAAAGTATAACTTCAAAAATTCTTTACAGACTGCCGTTATTGGCTCGAGAGTGACACTGCCATGCAGAGTTGAAAATAAGGTGGGTCAACTCCAGTGGACAAAGGATGATTTCGGGCTTGGACTCCACAGAGAGTTGAGCGGCTATGACCGGTATAAGATGATCGGAAGCGACGAGGAAGGTTAGTACTTTTTTTTTTATTGCCCTTGTAGACAGACGAGCATACGGCCCACCTGATGGTGAGTGGTCACCGTCGCCCATGGACCTCAGCAATGCCAGGGGCAGAGCTAGGCCGCTGCCTACCGAGTTTTATGAATGTGTGCCTCATAAAAGTAACAGAGATTAGTTAGTTCAATCCATTGTGTGTTTGTTTGAACGAACAATGATTTGGGATTGGTTAATGGATTCAACGCTACCAATTGTAGTATTTTTTATTTTTTATTGCTTAGATGGGTGGACGAGCTCACAGCCCACCTGATGTTAAGTGGTTACTGGAGCCTATAGACATCCACAACGTAAATGCGCCACCCACCTTGAGATACAAGTTCTAAGGTCTCAAGTATAGTAACGACGGCTGCCCCACCCTTCAAACCGAAACGCATTACTGCTTCACGGCAGAAATAGGCAGGGTGGTGGTACACACCCGCGCGGACTCACAAGAGGTCCTACCACCAGTAATTACGCAAATTATAATTTTGCGGGTTTCATTTTTATTACACGATGTTATTCCTTCACCGTGGAAGTCAATCGTGAACATTTGTTGAGTACGTATTTCATTTGAAAAATTGGTACCCGCCTGCGGGATTCGAACACTGGTGCATCGCTTCAACACGAATGCACCGAACGTCTTATCCGTTAGGCCACGACCACTACTATTAGCCGTAACTCATTGTATTCTCTTTCGGCTGCTTGTTTTTATCTATATGTGTATATATTATTAAAGTTAGCCCGAAATAAGTTAAATCTAAAGGTAAGCTTAGCAATTTTATTTTTGGTCAAAATCTATAATAGGTACGGTCGAGCAAGTTGATAAAAAAAATATTATAAAAACATTTTCAATACTTCAACTAAATTAGTGTATTTAATTTTTATTAACTTGATTATTTCACTTTTAATTCGTTGCTTCCTGTTGATATTAAATTGTATTAATATATTACAATTTAATTAATTATTCATATATGTAAAAAAAATATTGCGAAATTTTTTTTGGATCTTTAAATATTTTCAAATATCAAACAACTCGTTATCATAATAATATATAAATCATAGACTTGCATTACTGTAATTTATTAAGTAAACTTATTTGCAATATATCTTTTTTGTCAATGAACTTTACAAGAAACAAAGTTCCTATAAGTAGCAGTACAATAAATACCCAATAAGTATTTATAAGCCTGTAGTAATAAATTTCATCACGAACCATTAATCACATTTAGGAAATTTAGATAGTTAAATATTGTATAAATAAAGTCGCCTTAATTCTAATAAAATTATCATGAAGAATAGAGGAATACGAGCATTACTGAATGCTTTGGGAGATTGGGTTAAATGGCGAGTATGCGAAACGTATTTCTATTAATTGAAAAAAAACGTATTTTTAATTTATTGATTGAATGGATGGAAGAGCTCACGACCTACCTAGACCGGAACCCATAGATAATGATAGCATAAACAGGGTAATGGTATCTACCGCCGTCGTCGTGGCCTAAAGGATAAGACGTTCGGTGCATTCGTGTCAAGCGATGCAACGGTGTTCGAATCCCGCAGGCGGGTACCAATTTTTCTAATGAAATACGTACTTAACAAATGTTCACGATTGACTTCCACGGTGAAGGAAGCTATAATAAAAATTAAACCCGCAAAATTATAATTTTCGTAATTACTGGTGGTAGGACCTCTTGTGAGTCCGCACGGGTAGGTACCACTACCAACCTGCCTATTTCTGCCGTGAAGTAGTAATTAATGCGTTTCAGTTTGAAGGGTGGGGCAGCCGTTGTAACTGTACTGAGACCTTAGAACTAATATCTAGACGTGGGGGGCGCATTTACGTTGTAGATGTCTATAGGCTCCAGTAACCACTTAACAACCAGGTGGGCTGTGAGCTTGTCCACCCATCTGAGCAATAAAAAGAACCCTACGAGCTCATATATCGCCCTGCCACCAGTATTTGACCTCAGGTCTTGGTGGGTGAGTCGTATAATTCACGCTATGTCTAGCTACCACTGAAGTCGGGTAGCCTCAACTACACTCAGCCACGTCAAAAAGACGTCATCAAAATCAAATATAAAAATTTCGGATAATGTCAAGATCGACAATTCGAGTAATGATACTTTTATTATTTAGTGGTTTGATATAGATTGATCGTCCTTAATGGTTGGCGTCAACAGAGGTTATTTATATATAGTACTAGTCATGAAAATATCGATAATTCCACCTTCAATCTTGGTCTAATTGTGTACGCTTACTAGGTCAAGATATGATATATTAGACTTACATAATTACTGGTGCCTATAGATATTAGGCTAAATATTATAGGATTATAATACGAGGATAGTGGGCTGGTCACATATGTCGCGGAACCGATAACCGTTGGGGTAGACGTGTTCTGGAGTGGAGACCGTGAACCGGCAAACGTAGTGTAAGACGCCCTCCTGCTAGATGGAGNGTACGCTTACTAGGTCAAGATATGATATATTAGACTTACATAATTACTGGTGCCTATAGATATTAGGCTAAATATTATAGGATTATAATACGAGGATAGTGGGCTGGTCACATATGTCGCGGAACCGATAACCGTTGGGGTAGACGTGTTCTGGAGTGGAGACCGTGAACCGGCAAACGTAGTGTAAGACGCCCTCCTGCTAGATGGAGTGGCGACCTGCGCAAGGCAGCTGGTAGTAACTGGATGCGTAGAACCGAAGATCGGGTTCAGTGGCGAGCTTTGGGGAAGGCCTATGTCCAGCAGTGGACTGCCGCAGGCTGATGATATTACAAATCATTGTACAGTAGCGTTAGGTTCTTTCGTTGTATCGTTAGAGGTAAAACTGCTCTTGCTAGGGTTAGTCTTAGCGAATTCGCACAGATTGAACCCATGAGCTCACCTATCCATTCGCGCATAGCTGGAATAGACCTTCAGGCCTTAGGCCTTTCCTTAGGAAAATTGGAGTAAACGAATGATTCCCATTAGAAAAAAAGAGGATTGTGGCACCCGCGCAGGTTTATTTTTATTTTTTATTATGTTTATTGCTTAGATGGGTGGATGAGCTCACAGCCCACCCGGTGTTCAGTGGTTACTGGAGCCCATAGACATCTACAACGTAAATGCGCCACTCACCTTTAGATATAGGTTTTAAGGTCTCAAGTATAGTTTTACAACGGCTGCCCCACCCTTCAAACCGAAACGCATTACTGTTTTACGGTAGAAATAGGCAGATTGGTGGTACCTATCCGTGCGGACTGACTTTTTTTACGACAATTCGAGTTCGCATTATAATATTACTCGCCTAGCGTATTTTTTACAACTTCGATTTCTTTAATTGTTACTGACAAAAAGCAATTACCTAGTAGAGCTCTTGTTAAAATGGTCTTTGCAAATATTTTCGTTGTTATGTCATAATTGGTTGATCCTAAACCATATTTTGTTTTTATCATAGGTGACTACTCTTTGGACATCAGAGACGTAAATTTAGACGACGACGCCAAATACCAGTGCCAAGTCAGCTCAGGAGTTAAAGGTATGTGAATGGATTTTTAAATAATAATTGTATCCTATTTTAGTGCTTAAGATTTTATCGTGAAATAAATTAAGCTAATTGGGTTTTCGATACGATTTTCAGATGTTACACAGTCGTAAATGTGGAAGTTAGTATTATACATACTGACACGAATATACTACCATCTTGTAATAAATAGACAGTCGTAGCCTTGATCTTATGCAAGAAAACAAAATTAAATGTTCTCTTGTTAGAATTAATTAGAATATTAGATGGGGGGGGTTCAGATAACGAACCTGAGATATGCCGACGACACCACACTTCTTGCTTCATCTGAGGCGGAGATGAAGGAGCTTCTGGACAGATTAGAGGCTATAAGCCTAAACATGGGACTAGCAATTAACAAAAGCAAGACCAAGCTGCTAGTCGTAGACCGCTTCTCATCCACTCAGCGTACGGACCTTTTGGCAGAATACGAGGCCGTGGACCAGTTTGTCTACCTTGGTTCTGTGATCACGGATAAGGGGAGCTGTGAGCCTGAAATACGCCGACGAATTGGAATGGCTAAAACAGCTATGACGCAGTTGAGCAAAGTTTGGAAAGATCGTAATATTTCGAATAGGACCAAAATACATCTTGTGCACTCACTGGTCTTTCCAATCGCTCTCTATGGAGCAGAAACATGGACCATAAAAGCAGCTGACCGAAACAGAGTTGATGCTTTTGAAATGTGGTGCTGGCGCCGCCTATTAAGGATTCCATGGACAGCCCACCGCACGAACATCTCGGTCCTACATCAGCTTAAAATGGAGAACGCTCAACGCCTGTCTGCCACCTGTCTGCAACGCATAATGCGCTACTTTGGCCACGTTGCCCGCAGAGGTGTAGACAACTTGGAACGTCTGATGGTCACTGGGAAAGTAGAAGGAAAACGTCCTAGAGGCCGGAGCCCCAAACGTTGGTCCGACCAGATCTCCGAGCAAACCAGCGGACCACTTAGCGCTGCACTACACCAGGCAACTGACCGGAACCGATGGAGGCTGACAGTAGACAAGCTAAAACGGAGTCACGATCCTCAGCAATGAGGGAGCGATGGAGAAGAAGAGAATTAATTGAGGCGGTTTCATGGTTTCCTATAGACTTTCGTACCATTGAAACGTATTTCTTACACACTATTTCGGACCGTTGCATTGTATCACAGTGTGTTTCTAGTATTATGTACTTGCCCCGTGTAGCAGTTAGCCAGTTTTGTAATAAAACCCTCTCCACTATTTTTTCTGAACGCTATTTCATGTTATTATTTATGTACGGTTTGAAGGAGTATACAACCATAGGCCTTAATACAGCTTTGGTATCTTTGGGTGACCCTGTCGATTCCCCATCGAGTTGTTCAATGATGATATCAAACTATAAAAACTTCTATAGGCTTCAAGTTCTTGTATTCTTGTATATACATTATTCTTCTCAGTCGCACAATCCTAGTGGAGTGGTCGTAGTTACGTATGTCTTAATGTTTGGTTGCGACTTTTGAGAGACTTCTCCATCTCTCTCTATTAGTGGCGGTACGTGTACACTCAGTAAGGGAACACTTCGTAGATAGCTAAACCAAGTCTGTCCATCTTGTGGATGATCGGTCACGAGAGCGTTGACCGTATACTCTTCCTTGAACCACTAAACGTTCCAATGAGCTTTCATTACGAATGATATGTATATGTATACAATACATATCTGTTCTCTATTAGATTTAAGTTTTAAATTATTAATAATTACCGAGTATTTCATTGTAAATAGCTCAATAGAGGATTAAATTAGAATGTATTATGCATACTTAACACGTCTGATAACCTTTGCACAAAACATTTATGACTGGAATTACCACCATACTGTCATTTCCTGTGTTGACTTGACAGTAGTTGGCTTTGGCAATATAGCTTTTTCTGACTCATTTTCTAACCGGTTTATTAATTATGACATTAGTCTGAAAAGGGACGCGACGTTGTTATGAGCCTCAACGCATATTTATTGGTTTTGACGTGCTGTGAATCCGCATAAGTCTCAATAACATTACAATTTCTACCTCGAAGTCAAGCATACCTGTGTGAAAGATTTAATTAACTCAATTAAAATACAATAACTAAAATGTTGGCTTCGCGACTTAAGTTAATTAGTGATAAGTTATAGTAGGCTTAAGGCAAAAATAGGCTAAAATATGGTAAAAGTCCATACGGTCTTACAGCATACGATGAACAATTACATTACTGTGTCACTGGAATATTACACTGACTTGTAAAAAACTGGGTCGATTTTAATTTCAATTCATTTTTTAGTCGAACAAAACAATTAGAACCTTAATATTCCTAATGTTTACAATTACGAACTCAACAGTAATCATGAATTAAACATATTTAATCGTCTACTCCTTAAACATTTCTGACGAATATTCCCTTGTTACACGGTTACACTTAAGCCCCGCTTCAAACAACAAGTGCTTCTCGTGGGGATCAATAAAAATTAATTGCAAGAAAACCGATCTCCGGCCCGGGAATGGAAATTAGACGGAAGAAACGGAACGAACTAGAACGAGAAAAAAAAAAATTAAAAACATATTACAACGCCTCCGAAGAGCCCAACCAGAATTGAGCAATAGAAAAGATTGTAAAATATATTATACAGCGGGAGGGCTAGGGGAAAGAAATGCGAAGGAATTCTCAATTTATAACGGGCAAACACAATTTTGCGGAACGAGGCGCACCTAAGGAAACAATAGTTAGTCGGAATCTGTACCGTAACGGGTCGGTGAGAGCGATTTAATATAATGATCAATGAATTTAAGAATATCCAAGAATTCATGGAACTTATGGCACTACCAAGAAGAACAAGACAACTGTGACATAGCAATTTAAAGGACCGTCACTGCAAGCTTTATTGAGTTAAGATTCTTCTTCTAAGTGTTCACGTTATGTTTCAAAATCACTTGGACTATCAAGTCAAATTGGCATCGAAAATATTTGATGTTTTAACAAAACTTTACGCTTAATCAAATATGTTTGAGAAAGTTTATGGTTCAGCCTCGCGCGAAGCTCACTCTTGTTCGGTTTGTTGATACTTCCGGTATCGTGAAACTTTGGGTATCTCTGAATTTACTACTGGATTTTATTTCACTAGAGAGTCCATACTTCTATACAACTATTGTAAAACTGAATGTATGTTAGTGCTTCTTTCACGTTGAAAGAAAGAAACTGATTGATATGATTTTTTTAAGTCAGCTATTTGGTATAGGGTACTTTTTATCCTGAAAAAATATCTCGCCTCCAATAGAAACTATACCAACACCTTTTCTTGGCCACGCTGGTGAAGTCAAGGGTAATAATCAGTTTAATTTAAGCACAGGCTATAAATGTGAGATATGATCAGCATTTTGGGTGAGAGCTTCTCCATGATATACGTGCTTTGACTGAATAAATCTTCCATTCAGATTAAACCATTTAAAATCAATTATACAATCACTTCACGCAACATGATCGTCGCAAGTTAAGCTTATTGTTTACTTAAAGTTCAATAGAAGTTTTCGGAAAGTTCGGCTCTGTATCTGTTATCGCCAATCATATACTTCGATGGTTTAACTACTTCCTCTTCCAAATGAAATTTATAATTGAAGATTTATTGTTTTTAGATGGGTCGAACTCACAGCTTATTTGATTAGACTGGAGGATGTAGCTGTGTCTTGAGGTTTAAGTCTCAATTATCTTAATAAAAAGTCTGTTAAGCCTTAATATATATGCTGAACCCTCCTGGCTGAGCCCGAAGCTCGAAAGGGCTCCAAGCCACCAGCAAAGCTTCCTTTCCAAAAAAAATATCTAAGAATTATGGGAATTTAAACCGTCTGCATCATACATTTGCGGCAGAGATAGACATGATGTTGGGCATACACTAGTGCGAGCTCACGTTATTTACGCAAAGCATCAATTTTTTATTCTGACTTTTACAGCACGGTTAATTATTTGTTTCATCATGATGGAAGTCGTTCGTGAACATGTATTAGACATGGGAAATATTCGTATTGGTCACACAATTCTAACCCCAATGCAGTCACATCACCCGAGAGAAAACCACAGGACGTTTTACTCAACTGGTCACTGCCACTTTAAGAATCAAGTCGGAAATTTAGTTTGGCAGGATTCCATTCCTGAATGATCTGATGGTAGTCAAAGATTGATAATGAAAAAAAACCATCAAGGATTCTAAGCAGTGGTCCGTTTCAAAATCTTCATTAGGAATATGAGTTTAAATAGAGTTGCGGTATTTATAATAGTTAAGAGATTTGAAAGCCGCTATCCCAATTATCTTTTTTTTTTTTTTTATTGCCTTTGTAGGCAGACGAGCATACGGCCCACCTGATGGTGAGTGGTTACCGTCGCCCATGGATTTCAGCAATGCCAGGGGCAGAGCCAAGCCGCTGCCTACCGCTTAATACTCTTAATACTCTAATCTCGACCTTTGTATTCATGAAGATTAAAGGTACCAAAAAAATTTAATACATGGACAAAATTTTTTTTTTAATTAAATTTAATACATGGACTAGTAATGTTATCCGTTAGTATACAAAGATATTGTTTTCGTTACAACGACAGGAGACGGAGTTAAAATAACAAAACTGGATTTATCAAGGTTAATAAAAGCTCTTAGTATGTACCTGAGACAAGTATAATTTCACTATAGGATCTCAAGCGTTATTTTAATATTAACAGCCCCCTTTTAAATCAAAACAATATTGAAAGGCTACAAAGTCAATCCAAAGCAACACAGCCCGATATTAATGTCTCTAAAACAAATAGGCTTACAGACGAAATTAACAAACAAAGTAACTTTGGATCCGCGGTTGCACTAACCACTTTACGATACTCCGAGATCACAATTTAATACAAGACGAGAAAAGACAATGAGTTTCCCGTCTTTGCGAACTTCAGCCGGGTTTCAAAGTTAAATAGTGCAAAGTTTTGCCCCGAGTCAGATGTCCGTTG